GGGAATGAGCCTTTACTGGGGGAAACATATCATATTTGAATTAACAGGTTCACTGATTCTTAAAAGATGGAAGACAAAAAAGGACATCAGGGAAAAAAAGTACCCAATTTGAAACGTTTTCTATCTCACAAAGCAGCGTACTTCATTTCAGATAATTTATAGACTTTTCCACCAGACTTGTACAAATCAGAAACCCACCTGTCAATTTCTACCCACTGAATCTAATTCTGCTCTTTCGATTAATGCCAAAAACCAAAAACCCTGATGTATACAAAAGCCTTTCAAACACATGACCATAACTCTTAATACATCATTATATGTTGGTGCGTTACACAGCACTTTAATTTTTCAAAGTTGTTTTCACATTGATTCTTTCATTTATGCTTCACAAGAATATTATTATTTTGCAAATAAGATCAGGAATTAGGCTAGTATCATAACTATAGTTGAATTTGCCCAACCTCACAGAACTATCAGAAGGTAACAGAACTTTAAATCTGAGTCTTCCAAATCCTAAACTGATTCATGCCCAGGATTTATTTACTGACCCCTTCATTCTGTAAATGCTGCTTTTATATATTAATGTTTTCTGCCTTAAGTTACTCAACTTTGGTTGTGCACCCTTAATTGTGTGATGCATGCTATGTATCAAACACTATGCTAAGTCTTCTCACATATTCATTTATTCCTCAAATAACTATTACGCCCATTTTGCAAGGAAAAAGTTACAAGCTTTCTCACAATCGCCAGCTAATATAACGGCAGAACTAGGGTTAAAATCCAGAATTTTGGGCTCTGTATTAAAGACTCTATCCTCAAAATATCACTACTTGAAACTCCAAGAGATTATCATAAAATACCTCATTTTGCCCCTATATCCTTAAGTAAAATTACCTGCCAATTCTATTGCTTCTTACTGAAGTGACACATTTAATCATGTGTAAAATGCACCCTGCCCTATTTAGCTTCAAGAAGCCTTCCCAGATTTAGCTCACCGAATCTGCTTGCTCCTATGCATTCTGTTGTAGAGACCAATTTCTGAGATCACAAGGCCTGGGTCTGACTCTTGGCTCTATCTATCTTTTCTCAGTTCTATGACCTTAGGCAGGTGACTTGACCAATAACCCTGAGTTTCCTTACCTAGGAATAATAATGCTTGCCACAGAGGGCTGATGAGGAACAACTAAGATGATCCATGTAAAGCATTTACAACTGCCAGGTACTTACAAGCACAGTAAATATTTGCTATTATTATGTTCTGAAATGTTTTTCACTGATACAAAAAGAAATATATAGTGAATGGTATGATATGAATCCTTGGGTTCACAAAGTATTGATCCCTAAAGATTAATCAATACCAGCAAAGAAGGATCTAATAAAATTTCATTTTCTCTGGGGTCTTAATATCTCCAAAGGACTCAATTATGTTACAACATAAAACACAGGAACATGGGTGAAAAATAAGCACATAGTGAAATGAGCAAAATCTTCAAAGTCACACATACCCCTATCTTCAAATCCTAACTCTGCCACTTATGAAATACGTTACTTAGAGAAATTATTTCTCTTCCTTGGAATAAATTTCCTTAATAATTATCCTAAAGCACCACTATTTTGAAAAGTAAATGTGAGTACATATGTAAAATACCCGGTACTTTCTGATAATAAACAAATGCTGGTTTCCCTTCTCTTCTTTCAACAGCTTAGGCTACAATTGGAGATTAGAACTACAACAGTGGCAGTGAGAATGGAAAAGCAATTTTATAGTGACAATAGAACACAGACTTTGTCAAAGTGAAGACAACTGTGAAACGGGCTTTAAAATACTAAATCAGTTTGTGATCAAAATCGTTTGTAGAACGGTTTTAAAAGAATTATCTGGACTGATTTTATCATGGCACAGTAATATAGGCAGAACTTTTCAGTGTTTCCAGATTGAGCTCCCTCACAACCAAGGAAAGCCCCTCTGATTAGCCACGGGTAGGGTTGGGTTTTCATTCATTCATTCATACATACATACATAAAATCATGTAACAGACCCTTTAAGAAAAGGAAGCTGATCTCTGAGAAGAGTTGAGGCTATGACACTCAAGTACAATCTGCTATCACCTGGCCCTAGAACCCTCCTAGAAATAAGACCTGAACAAAATGAGTTCCTCAAGTGAGGTAAACTGGAAGGCAGAAAGGGAAGAATGAATCCCATGGAACTTTCCACAAACTCAACCTGGCCCACTGGCTGGGAAGATTACACAGCTACAATTACAATGGCAGGACATACATAAACACAAAGATGCACACATGCTTCTACTTCACTTAAAGGCAGACAGGAGAGGTATAAAAGCCGACATAACTCCATTGTCAATAAAACCTTGGGAGGGTAATAAAGACAGCTGACTGT